TTTAATCAAGTCCTTAACTAGGCAAAGTTCACAATTTGATCCCTAAACAAAAATAAACTAACAATTGGTCCTTAAATATTCAATTTCCTACCATAAGGTCTTAAGTCTCAATATTAACGACTATAACTAATTTTCGAGGTGTTACACTTGAACTGGGGTTCAATAATTTTTATAATAAGAGAGAAAATTGCGATGCATTTTAAGTTTACTCTTTTTGCAATAGAATCCTTTTTACCACATTGTTGATGATTGAATATAGATAAATAAATATCCCTCTTTAATGGCTTAAACTTTTAGATGAGGTTATTACGGTGGTATTAGAGTCCGGCGAAAGACCTGGGTTCAAGTCTCATTGCCATCTATTTATAAAAATTGTGCGGGTGTAAACCTTTATGAATTCGGCCTGCAAGTAAAGCGGTCGTGTTGACGTTTTTATTTAAATAAATAATTTTTCCCATCTCTAAGAGTTTAAGCTCTTAGATAGTTAGATAAGATGGTTAGCCTTGGTATTTATATTAAAGAAGAAATATAGTCTTCAACGCATGGAAACCTTGGTTTTTGTATTACATATTATAATTATAGTTTATCCATGTTGGAATTTCTTTGCATTTCATTAATTTAGAGCAAGGAAAATAAAACTGACATCCCTTATAGTGTGACTATGCTACTTTTCTATTCCCTGAAAAAGGGGCATATATAATATATTCGTCATCTTTCTGCTAGTTGATGTTATTTTCATAGTTATTCTGATACTGAAGCACTACTATATCAGGAAAGATACTACCATGGAAGACCCAAAGGCAATGACAATTGAGTTTCTTCGGGCAAGATTGTTATCTGAGAGATCTGTCTCAAAATCAGCAAGACAGAGAGCTGATGAACTGGCCGAGAGGGTGGGTTACAGTATTTGATCTACTCCCTTCCGCCGCACATTGTTTATCATGTAATATGTATTGACTTTTTTGGTCAGTCGGATCATGTTTTCAATTAAAGTTGGACCTAATTTAACTTAGATTAGAAAGTAACATGTGGGAATTTGTAAACTACATTCAAATTTCAAGCTTCATTTCCTGAAACAAAGTAAATTATGATTGTTCTGCTTCAAGAATTGGTTAAATTGAAAAGCGAACCTGCGACAAACAATTTGAGACAAAGGGTATATATGTAAGTGGGAAGACTTGTACTTGCCTCTTTCTTCCCTCTTGTCCACCTTCCCTGTTCATAAAGGTGTTCATAAATCTTAGTTCTGCTGGTTTACGTGTTCTCAAATCATAAAATTTGTTATCCCTTCCTTGAGTCTGTGTTTATATATCTGCAGGTTGAAGAACTTGAAGAGCAGCTGAAGTTTGTGTCTCTGCAAAGAAAGAAAGCTGAGATAGCAACTGCAGATGTTCTTGCAATTTTAGAGGATCATGGGATAAGTGATGTATCTGAGGGATTTGATTCAAACTCTGACCAGGAAGAAACTCTCTGTGAATCTAATTCTCATAACGATATGGCAATGGGAAATGAAGCTTCCACCAACATAAAAATAAGAAGAAATGATAAGGAGGCATATTCTAGTTCTGAAATTGAATCCTCTCCTTCGATTGGTAGGAGCCTGTCCTGGAAAAGTGGTAAAGATTTACAGTATCCTCTCGAAAGGAAGAAATACATGGATTTAGCCAGGAGACGTGATAGTTTTGCATCAACTGGTTCTTCAACAAGGCGGGTTGGTAAATCATGCCGCATGATAAGGCACAGGGAGACTGGGTAATTTTCTTGCTTTGGATTCTGATATTTACCCACACTTCACTTATTTTGGTAGCTATTAAATGTTCTGATCTAATATTTAATCTTATGATCGCATTAGCCTCATGTGATGACATCTGCATCAGACACTTCTAAGGAACTCTCTCATCTGGAAAATGATTCTGAGATGTGTAATTAGTTTGCTTTCTGTTAATGAAAACATATTCAATAATAGCAAGTTTGGCTAAGCTCACGTCTTTTTTTTTTTTTATTTCTTTACCTGGGCCTAGGTGGGGGGTTTTGGTGGACCCTGCATTTAGATTATTAAATATTAGATAAGGATACTTTTTAAAAAAAAAAAAAATAAATAAAGTTTAACCAAACATGCTGTATGACTATACTTGGTGAAAACCTCTCAAAAGTTAACTAACTGTTTGAAGGTAGCGAAAAATAAATTTTACATTGTTTTTATCCTCTCCCATTTTGTTTCTCTTTCTGTTGGTTCTTCTACAATCTGTTGCTCTTTCTAGTCTTCAGATGCATGGTATAGTCAGCTCATTGCAAAGCTGGATTTTAAATGCACTTGGAATGAAATCATTCTTTTGTTTTTACCAGATCAGCAATAGAGGAGTCCCGGAATGATGTCCACGTGAAAGCAACCTACTGCTCTGAAATTGAACCTGATACATCAAGAAAAAGCCCTGAACATGATAAAGAGAAGAACCTACTGAAAAATCCACCAGCAGTGTTGGAAAATCAGAAGCAAGAAACTAATGGCCATTATTTTGGTGGATATAGGGGAGATAACGACATGGAAAGAGCATTACAACATCAAGCCCAACTCATTGGGCAATATGAAGAAGAAGAGAAGGCCCAAAGAGAATGGGAGGAGAAGTTCAGAGAGAATAGCAGTTACACACTGGTAAAGTTTCATCAGTTTCAAACTTTTCACCGTTTATGCAATCTAAGGTTTGGTTCATAAAAAGATTGACTTCTATTTCCTGTTCTAAAGACTACATAGAGGGTATTTTTATTTGGTGAATTACAATTTACTTAACGAAGTATTTGAAATTATCTTTTGTCTGTTGTCTAAGTGTGCAGCCTCCAAACTCCGTGGGGAAAATAAAATAGGACAGAAACAAGATGCAAGAGTTTTAACATCTAGTCAATTATTTGATCCCTCGTCTTTTATTTTCTTCATCAGTAAAACCGTCAAAATGCCTTTATCGATTTCTAATAAACAATAATGCACTTCACCTATAGTTTTTCAAAAAAATGTTATTTGTCCAGATACTAGACTGAGACTATACACTGAGTTCTGCATTCCACCAATTTTCTGATTTCCTGTATCAGTTCCATTGATGCACATGATTCACACAGCTTCCATAGGAGAACCTTCAAAGTTTAGCCATTGTTTCTACCCATTCAACTCTATAACACCTCCATAGAGCCTTTTCTGCATGAAGAGGAAAAAGCACTCTGCTTTCTTCCATCTTTAACAGTCAGTTGTTGATTTCCTTGTCACCACCACTGTTCATTCCTAATCCTTCCTAATGTTGATTCATCTGTCCATTGATGAAGCTGTATTGTTCTCAAATTTTCCAACAAGATCCGAGTATTCTGCTGCTTACAATTATTATCCTTCCGGTGATATGTAAAGCCCCATCCATTAGTTTCAGGTATTTTCTCCTAATCAAGAGATTCAAATTGGATCCTTGCATCTAAATGGTATAGCGGGTGCTCCATATATGAACTGTAGAAGTATTGCCTTCAATGATTTTTGAGAAAGACACAGCATTTAGCCCACCATTTTGCTTGTCTCTGTGTGTCGGGGGGGACCCAATCATGCACGAGTGCCTATTAGATGATACTATATATAGTCTCTAATATATGTACAAGACATTAAGCTTACGAGCAGAAGCTTGATGCTAATATTTCTGTTTTGTGAAATTCTAATCCTATGCATTTAAGAGGCACTTGTACAGTTACTTAATTTTTGTGCATTTCTCCTCGGTCATGTTCATTTTAATGTTGTTAATTGAGCATAAATTTTTATGTTAGCACCTTTTTCAATGTTTTCTAGCGGTTCTCCATAAATGTCTGATCCGTTTTGACTTATTATTCATGAACTACCAGGATTTGTGTGACCCGGGGAACCATTCAGATGTGACTGAAGAGCATAATGAGTTTAGAACACCTGAACCGCCATACACTGCAGGAGCAACAAGTTCAGGTACCCACCATTCAGATGTGACTGAAGAGCAAGATGAGATTAAAGCACCTGAACCACCTTATACTGCTGGAGCAACAAGTTCAGGTAACCAAGAAATGAAATCAGAGCAGGTGGAGGCTTACGTCTATCAAGAATCTCAAACGTCCAAGAGTTTGCCATCTATTACAGATGCCAACAAGGGTAACTTACCGGATCGAAGATGCAGTGGCATGATTTCTTTTGATTCTTCAGCACCAGAATTTTCACATCCCATGTCTATGGGGAGCAGTGATCAACAGTTTTCAGGAAACCATCATGATGCACCTTTGCATAGTTCTCATCAATGTTTGCCCAGCTGTAATTCAAGTTACTCTTCAGCAAAGATCCCTTTATCTCATGCAGGAAACAGTATGCCGATGTATGTTTCTTCAGGAAGTCCTTTGTGCCATGATCTTGCAGTTATGCCTCAACAAACTTTTACTGATTTGGGTTCTGTCCTTGAGAAGCTTCAGCAAGCTAAATTGTCATTGAAACAAAATCTCAATAGCTCACCGCTGGTACCCGGAGGCACGCCTGGCAATATTGGCAAATCATCTAATCCTGAAACAAACACTTTGGACAAGTTCAAAATTCCTGTTGCTTATCCCGGTCTTTTTAGGTTGCCAACTGATAACGAGTTCGAAGCGATTAACAGAAGCAACCGTCCAGGCATTGGTACAGAGTTTGGTTTCCCACAGATTTCTCCAGAAAGTGCTGGTGAAAGATTTTCTTCAAATCCTTTTGTCGAGTCTAGAAGTGCTTTCGTTGCTAACCAGTTTCTCAATGTTCCCCCGAGCTCTTTTACTGAAATCAGGCCAAGAGTTTCTACGCAGGGGTCTCTGTCTCAGCCTAGATTGGGTGGTGCAGGTCCGCCCTCTTTTGATGGATTGAACTATCGTAATCCTCGCATGGGTATGGTTCTTCCTTCTTCAAGCAATGATTTTTATCCTTTCCTTCCAGACTTTACTCTGAGATTACCTTCGAGTGAAGGAATTTCAAGAACCTTTCCAAGATCAGAATTAGGGGTACACCCAGTCAATCGCTTCTTTTCATAATATGATCGTTATCGACCTAATGTATAGATAGCCGTCTACTACTTGAGCAACTCAGTTATCCTGGTTATGCTACCTGGAATTATGTTGATATTGAACTTTATAGTAGATCCCCCCTTCTTTTATTTATTTTTATTTTTTAAATCTCCCTTTCCTTTTGTTGTAAGTTGAATCTTGTTGGGGATATGAGCAGTACTGGAACATGAATATGCGATCATGAACCTCTTACCTTGTGGTACAGTCTACTGAATGCTTCAGCCTTTCTGATAAAGTTCACTTTGCCGCAGTCCATTCTGATCAAGTCTACGTACTAACTTCTATGCTTGGTTATTGGTGGCTTTGCTTTCGTGTGTAATGTAATTTAAACGTGACTTCAAACTATTGAGAGTATCAAGACATGAACATGCAACAGAATTTTTGACAAGCCGCCAGTGGTGCTGATAAAAGAGTGCATGAAAACTGCAAGGCACTGGGACTTTTGTGGGCCCTCCTTTAGTGTTGCTATCACTTCTCCGTGAAAGGCGCTCAACACTTCAACATCGTCTCCACAACCGGCCAATGGACTCCCCTGTCCCAGCCGTAAGCTCCACCTCACCTGGCTAGTAAAGATTGTCAGTATTAAAACCACTTCCTCTTTTGACGACTTCTGCGCACTTACCCTATCCTTGACTAGCCAAATCCCCATCCTTTTTAGGACTACTAGATGCCCGTGTAAGGAAGTACTTGGTTTTCCTATTCCCTTCTCTAGCCAGTTAGCAGAACGTTACTTCTAGTACAACTCCTCCCTCTCCTCTGGCCAGTCAATGCCCCTTTCGAGAATTTTAATGTCAATCATCATCCCTCCCACATTCGGCCCCTTGTATAACCCCGTACATACCTTGCATTTCCTTCAAGTCCCTCCACTTTTCAAACCTCACTCCTCTCCACCCATCCAGACCAACCTGACAATCCCCAAGGCCAGCTTGAAATTAAAGGATTTGATCCACCTGATAACCTGGGTCCTCCGATAAGTGTTGTGCCCTATGTCCAATTGATTTAAGACGTAAAAACTTTTAATATTGATGTATTTTAGAAGTAAAAACTTTTAATATAATTGATGTATTATTATTTATAACAGATCTATTATTTAATTGAGTTATTATTTTGATAAATTAAATTAATAGACTTTTGTAGATTTAAGTCTTGATAATTTTTTAATTATAAGGAGTTGTGATTGTGAAATACAAATTATATGTGACTTAATATTAAATTACCCGTGTTCATAAGTAATAATAAGATACAAATATCATTATTATGAATAAATTAGTGCATGTGACATATCTTGCTTATGAAGTGAGAAGCTGATCTCACCCCCTAAAATGTAGAACATTTAAACGGACGTATGGATGTTTTGTTTAGAGAACAAAACATTGGAGACTTGCAACAGAGATTATACATAAATAACTATATGAGCTCAGTGGTTGATCTCTAATTTTTCGGTATTGGAATTGGTCCTTCGACTTGAGGTCATCATGATATTTTATATGAGGACAACCATACTTTGGTGATATTGAATGTTGATCTGCCAAAGTCTTTAATACGACATCGTTCGAGTATGTCAAGAATTATACGAAGGTTGTGAATGATTAATAGATGATTCATCACTCTTAGATAGTAAGAGATTTTAATCTACGTTTCGTTCATATAAGTTGATATCGAAATCCTTGATCATACGTAAGTCGAGAGTTTCGAATATTATTGACTTAAGAATGTGATGAAATATATGATCAATAATAGAGATTAACATACCCATATCTCGTAACTGATCGGATCATAATGCTTAAAGGATTATAATTTTATGGTAAACGAACAAGTTTGACTTTGTCACACCAATTACCATGTTATATTTTCGTTCACATCCGACACATTGCTAAATGTTAATTTGGGACGATTAATATGAATGAATTAATTAATTAATATAGGTAAATTATTCGTTTTTAATTTATCTTATTTTGATTAAATAAAAAATAATTTCCGTCGTCTGGCATCATGATCGAAAACCTAGTGGGTCACATGCATAAGGGAGAATTAGAAAAATGATATTAAGAATTAATTAATTGACAAGTGTTCGACATTTGTAAAATTAATTAATTGGATTGTTTATTAATGAGCTTAAGTTAGTTAATTAGATTAATTAATTTATAAGCAATGTTTAATTATTTAAATTAGTTAACTAATGAGCCGACTTCTGTTTAGTGGATGGGTTAATTCCACTTAAATATCTATAAATAAGCAATTATGGTTTAAGTTTTTCACGATTGTTACAATAGCAATCGAGATTACAAACACAATATCATAATTTTGCTAGTACAAGAAAGAGAAAGCCATAATATCTCATTCTTGTTTTCTTGGGTGGATTACCATTGGAAGCTGAATAATTGAGCAGCTGTTTGTGGAAAGATAGTGATTTACAAATGTGTGGAAATATTGTGATTTATAAAGGTGTGAAAAGATCAAGATTCTCAAAGGAATTCGAAACATTTGCTAAAGATATAATTTTAACAATCATGCTTGTTGTATATAATAATTTACACCACGGTTTAAACTTTGCCACATGACATTATTCAATTTAATATAATTTTAAAAAATAGTTTTTTCAACCAGTTATTTGTTGACAACACAGCAACTGTCCACAATAGTGTAATAAATGATAATACAAATGGCTTTACCCTAATTTTAATTACAATTTCTATCTAAATTGAATTTTTTTTTAAATTTCGTTGTGCATGTATAAGTAAATTTCCAATAATGATATCAAAACCGACTTTATGTTTGTTAGAAATTATTTTTGAATTTTGAGAACAATCAATGGTTGGTTGTTATTGATGCCACCTCACTTCCACTCGTCGTCTACATCCCAAAACTCCCTATCCTACAATATGATAAATCTCATTGCTTTCGATATGAAATAGAAAAACCCATGGATTAAGATCCAATATGATGTTAACAATACGTTCATAGATACATTAGTAAATTTTGAGAAAGCTTGTGAAAAGGTTTAAAAACAAGTCATACGAGGAAATTCGACATTTTCAACAATCAAATGTCGATAATTTCCATGAAGTAAAATATTGAAAATGTCGAATTCGACAATTTACATCTTCAGATGTAAATCATACCATTCGATACATTATTAACTACAATTTTGACCTCCTTCCCAAAATTTTTAATGTTGGGTAGACACGTCCTTGATCTTAAGCATAGATTCTTGGCATCTATAGCTGTCATATAATTTTTTCTTTCTCGATTTCAAAATATGATTCATTACAAGAGAAATGGAACATTGTTGAATTTGCCATTATCTAAATCGAATTTTTTTTTCAATCTCTTCCTCGAAAAATGGAGGCCTATTGTCCGTCATTATCCAAATTCACAAACTCTTCAGTTTTTTCGTCGAAGATTAGAGGACCAGCATAACTGAAATCCAAAGATTCTTCAACTTCTGAACTATTGAAAGGAGTAAAAAGGACTTCGTCCCAAAAATAAAATAGTGAATTTCACAAACACCAATTTATTTCTACCATAAATGAACTTTGCTCTTATATCAACTGATGTAAGGCAGGGAAAGCGTACAAATAATAAACGAACACGCTATCGAATTTTGTTGATTTCAAATGACTACTGTAACATGATCACCTTCTAGTTTGTGTTGATTCCTAAGAATATCAAAAAAATAGGCATAAGAAACCCTTTGATTCACGTACAAATATAGAAAATTTGGACGCATTAATTTTAAATACGAATTATTGAGAATTTAAGAGATTGAAAATCTCTGAATTCTATAATTTCAATATTCAAAAAAATAATTTACACCCATTAAGGATTGCAACCTTTATTTAAATTTTAAAGCCATAACTAAAACTAGATAAAGACTAAATCTAGATGAAAAATTAAGCCATTGTTTGATTCCTATTTTTTTCAAAATACATTTACTCTTCTTTTTAACTATACATTCTCCAATAAAATAATATTACACCCCATTTTTTATTTTATTTTCTCTCTTATTTTTAACCATATATTTTTCAATAAAATAATATTACAAGCAACTTAAAAACTTTTCCTTCATTTTTAACCACACATTCACCATCAATCTATTATTGCAAAATGCATTTTACGCTCACACTGAAATGAAAAATAATGACTAAAATGAATGATGAAAACTGAGTTTTCATCAAAACTAAATCAAGATAAAGACTAAAATTAAGGATAATGATTAAAATTAATAATGAAGAATCAATCTTCTTCAGAAAAGACACAATTAATAGCAAGCTCACTCAAACATGCTTTTAAAAGGATAAAGATAAGGGTTATTGGCGCAAAACGTCTCTACCTATGACAGTCCTTATGGAAAACGTCCCTACGTTTGATTTCTTGGTGCAAACCGTCCCTACCTTTTCATTTTCTTGCGCAAACCGTCCTTTTGACCCATTTTTAACATAAAATGACTATTATACCCTCTTATATAAATAAAACAAAAAAGAAAAGAAAAGAAAAATAAAGAATAAATTGCAATCTAGTCCAAAACATTTTAAAAAGTGCAAATCAATTTTTCTCTATTTAAATAGGTCAAAATATTTATTAAAAAAACCAAAAAATAAAAATCAATTTATACACTTCTTCCTCCCACCCCACTCGACAGTCAGCACCACCGCCCCAAAGCCGGCCACCGTCGCCGTCGCCGGTCTCCTTCCCCAACCCCACTTTCTACACCCCCAAAATGCTACCACCACAATCAAACCAAAACCTATCCCCAAATCCAGTTCTTCTTCCTTTTCTTTCACATTTTCCTCTTCCTCAGATTTTTCATTTCCAAACAAAATCAAGCTCGTTCAAGTCCCATCTACAGTTACTGTTTTTCAAGTCCTAAGAACTTACGAAGAAAACCTAACAAATATTGTTCACCGTTACCTACAAATTGCAGCAAAATTGCCAGACGAAATCTTCATCAGGATGACACTTGATGT